GGCCCGAATACGGCGCCGCGCGGCCTCCTGGCGTTGGGCCTCCTGGCGCCGATGCCGCCGCCGCCGCCGCGCGAGCTCGGCGACGAGGAGCTCGCGCCGGGTCCAATAGGGCAGCAGGTGGGGGTCCTCGAGGTCGTTGTAGGGCGGCAACGCGCGGTCTTTCAGCGGCCCGAGGTAGAACTCCACGCGCGGCAGGCGGTGCGGGGCGGTGTGCGTGAGCAGGCGAAAAGGGCTCTGCGACCGCGTCGGCGGCGGGGGCGGGTGGGTGTAGTTCGCCGAGGAGATCGGCGGGAAGGTCTTCGACATCGCGCGGGGCGTGGGCGCGTGAGGGCGGTGGGATGGCGTTCCGTGGTTCCCCCCCGTGTGTTTGGTTGGGTGCTTGGGTTATACTAAGGCCCCCGGGGGGGGGTGGTGGGGGGAAGGAAGAAAAAAGAAAAAAAGGGTGAGGAGAAGTACGTGTGCGTGTGGATGGCGCGGGTTGGAAGGAAAGCCAAGGCGGAAGAAAGGGCCGCTTCGGGACAGGGTCATGGTAAGCAAGGCGATGGAAAAGAGTTAGAGACATGGAGGACAAAGTAGCATAAAGGGAAAGCAAACAAAAAAAGGACCAAACGGAAACTATCGCGTATCGCATATTTAAGCATCAAGCAGTATCAGCAGAGGGACCCACTAGTCTTTCTCTTTCTCGCTTCTTAATTATGTTGTTACTATGATTAATGCCGACAGCCCCTCACAGAATGCATCCGACTTACTGAAGCCTCCGTAAATATCAAAAAAAAAACATTATTGTTTGCTTATTATGCTTTGACAGAAGCATAACACTTCATGAACTGAAAATAAAATCAAATACATACGAAAATAGGTAACAAAATAAACTGAAAAACACACAAGAAAACAAATAAGGGGAACATTTTTGCGTTAACGAGTAGATGGTACTTGTAGCCTTTCTTTTACTATATTCATACAAATAATAATATTCACATCCTCATAGGTGCATGTGTGTATAGTACAATATTGAGCCAATGATACCAAGCAAGATCATACACTGTATCTTTAAATTTTCTATTTCTGTTAAGTCTGAAAGGGGAGAAACCATTGATGATATATTAAATTATTAATTTACATTCTACTCCCTTATGTAAATATTTTCGTTTCATATTCTTCTCTAACTGCGAGACTTTTGTTTTTGTATGTCCAGGATCAACCTATGGATCATACAGGGTTCAAGAGAAAAGAATACTTGTACAGTGTGTTTAGTTTTCACACTTATTCAAACCTATATATATATGTATATATATATATATATATATATACATATATGTATATACATGCATCTATCCATATAGGTGCACCCCGGAATATCAGCAACAGGGGCACCCTCCCGTCTTCCAGTAAATGCAAAAAAAAAGTAGTTGTATTTTATGCCCTTATGATGTGTAAAAATTTCTTTTTTTTTTTACTCCCATTATTCAGAAAAAAAGAATAGACGTTCGCGCAATAAAAAAGCACGACAATGCAGCGTTTGTGTGAAGGGATTGAAACGGGTGAGGGGGGGGGGGGAAGAAGGGGGAAAGAGGGATTGTTGAAAATTAAATGCTAAAAGCGGCAGTGAAGCATGCCCCATTATACTTTATTTCCCTTTTCACACATTATAAATATCGTAAAAATAAAAAAACGTATCAAGACACGCTTTCATCACTTGGTTTGATATTTTGAAGTAGTGGTACAAAAAAATTGCTCCCAGCGAACCTCCTTTAGAGTCACAGATAAAATCCCTCGTTTAAGCAAAAAAAAAACCCCTTTACAACACTGCTAATACTAAATCTTATCCTTTTTTCCACACGTTCACACAAAAGAATGCACAATATCTGCTCTTCGGGTTCTTATTTCCAACCGCCCCGTTGTCCTGGAGGGGAGGGCACGCGTGAAGAGTTCAATTATTCAGCGACTCAACACTCCTTTTTTTTTTTAGATTTTTTCGTCTTGTTTTCCGAACGGTTCTCAATCTCAAAAAGGTTTCGCCTCCCCGGTGGGCAAGATATCTTTTTTTCTTCTTCTTTTTCTTCCGTGTCGAAGGATGTCCTTCCCTTTCCCCTTTTTTTTGTGGGTTATGGCTCAACAGCGGAGTGTGGTGGCCGCGCCGTCGGAAGCGGAGAGCGTCGTAGAGAGCTGCCGTCGCTGGAGGAGGTTGTGGTTGGGAACCCCCTAATTTCCCGTTCGCCCGGATTTCGAGCATTTCGCCCACTAATCGTCGTCTGCCGCCGCCCGACGGTCGCCAAGGAAGAGATGCAAAGCCCTGGCGGGGTATTCACGGTGTCGAACAGCGGGTACGCGCCGTAGCCCCCTCCACCGCCGCCATAGTTCGGAATAGGGTGATAGCCGCCATAACTGCTGCCATTGGGGTTGTTGATGTTGTTGTTGTTGTTGTTGCAGGGTCCCGAGGCCGGGGAGACCCGGGCGGAGGGCGCGAGGATGTCGAACTCGCCGTTCAGCAGCGAGACGAGGGGGGGCCCGCGGTGGCTCGTTCGGCCGCTCCGCCAGAACGTCGGGGTATGGCAGCTTCGCAGGGCAAACGGGGTCCCTCGGCCGCTTGGGTTGTTGGTGCTTTCGTTATTCCCCCCGTTCGGGCTGCCGTGCTGCGGGATCGCGTTGGCGGAGTTGAGCGAGCTGTGGTGGGGGCTCAAAGGGCAGACCCCGAGCGGCGACCCGATCCGGCTGCTGAAGGAGAAGAAGGAGGCGTCGACCTTGGGGCCCTCCGCCGCGCGCGGGCGGAGCGGGGTGTGGGCGGAGCCGACGCGCAGCA